ACAGGTAGATAATACTCGTATTTACACCTGATTACTATACACCTGGTATATGTTCCAGTAGGGAGGGGAGGGGTGTGCTGTGGATTACTAGACACAGGTAGATAGTAATCGTATTTTTACACCTTACGACTGTACTTTTATATTTAAATTCGTGTTTTCAGAATAAACTCAGAAGAACGGCGAAAGAGACAGGAAGCCCAAGACCTGTCTAATTTTATTAATAATGTCTTGAAAACCTATGATAAAAAGCTCAGACCGAATGCTGGGGGTTAGTATACCTTTAGAATTTTAACATAGATACAGCTATATAATCTATAGCCTAACCACTTGTCTTGCAAGAGACCTTTTCAGCTTTGGCGTAATGTCAGTTTCCCATTCCAGACCACGTGTCAATCCCTAGAGTATGATTTCCTTGTTTAACGGTTGTGCATTAGAAGACACATGAATATGATACGACTCAAAATAAGAATCTCATTCTCAAGAGAATGCCGAAAAGGTCTACTGAACTGAAAATTCTTTTTCTGTGTGAAGGTGACGCAGTTGAAGTTCTTGTGGAGGCCAAAGTGGTTTCTATCGGCGAACTTAAGGAAGCCAGCATGGTAAGAAGAGAAGTGATTAAAAATATATAACTGCCTCTTAGATAGGAAGGAAATAAGGATGGAGAGTAGTATACTACGTAGTAAATGGGGGGAAAGTGCAAATGTCATGAATATATTCATTAGCCATTTTTTTCTTTAGGAATTTTCCCTCGACATATTTTTTCGTCAATGGTGGCACGACCCTCGATTCGCACATAACTTCAGCATCCCTTTCAACATGGCTGCCGATGCTACGAAGATCTTCTGGACGCCTGATACTTATTTTGTCAATGTAAAGAGCTCAAAGTACCATCACGTGACAAGGGAAAACATGCGAGTCAAGATCAGCCCTGATGGCAATGTCTACTTCAGTACCAGGTTTGTGAATGAAGGATGAAACACAGAAAGAAGCAACAGTAATATATCAGTCAGTAACATGCTACAATGCTCAACCAAGCTGTTTCATTGTTATTTATATCTCGAGGGATTCTTTGGTCACGTGTACTGTAGGCACCACGCCATGCTTGGGGGTGGGTCACGCACACTTTTGATGTCGTTGGAGCGAATATGCACAATGGAAGAAGTGGTGCTAATTCGTACAAAGCAAGGAATGGTGGGATCATCTAAATGTTATGTTGATTTCATATTCTATTTCCAGTACTGAGAATAGTGATCCGAACTCTTGTTAACAAAAAATGACATTCATTCTTTATAATTTCTAGGATAACACTTACTGCACAATGCGCAATGAATTTCCGTCTCTTTCCAATGGACACTCAACACTGTGGACTCACCATTGAAAGTTGTAAGTACTGTCACGCAAGGCAAACTAGCTCTACTGATAGTCACGCAGTTCGTAAACATCTAGACCGCAAAGAACTTTTTCTAATGATTCCACTGAGTGCATAGTGATATTTATTTTTCACTGAACACAATTGGAATTTTTAAGTTTCTTTGCCAAGGCATGATAAACGGACGACCCAGAAAGAAAACCCCTCGAAGAAAAGGAGAGAACGGTCACGCAAGAAGCAACGTTACCTCATGCATGACTCCGATCAATCTGGTCGCGTGCGTTCTCACTGAACGACGGCCAGCCATTTATGTCATTATTTAGTAATGAGTGAATCCGGCCTTTAGTTAAATTTTTTAAAGCCCTTTTTTATAACTACATGACCCTTACTGGCCATAATTTGCGACATACATCTAGGTTTTTGACTTCGTTATAAGTACTAGTAGTACTTTTAGTATGCAGACTGTCAGAATTATGATTGATGAACGCGCCAAAAACGTACCCAGAAGTTGACTGAATATCAAATTGAAAACATTTGGATGTAGGATTCTAGAGAGCTCTTCTTGTTACAGACGCATACACAGCAGCAGAGGTAAACTACGCGTGGAAGAAGAAGGGAGGTAGCAATGGAATCGAAGTGGTTTCACAGGAAATGGCACAGTTTGATTTACTGGAAATCCAGACATTGACTAAAGATTTGCCCAAAAAGAGTAAGTGAAATAGATTGGATTAGATATGAACTTTGTAAATTGATTCTGAAAAGCCCAACTGTCAGGTATTAATAAATATATAGAAAGCTGAGAAGGCTTTGGGTAAAATAATGATCTGAACATGAAATAAAATGAGGGGAACGTGGGGGGGGGGGGGGGGGGGGTCGAGTTGATTGAATTAGGTCAATTCAATAAAACTCTTTAATTCCCAGCATCCTTTGCCAGTTTGAAAGCTGTATTCTCATTCCAGCGTCGACTGGAGTTTTTCATCTTCTCAGTCTTCATTCCTGCCACGATTTTAGTCGTCCTGTCTTGGTGTTGTTTTTGGATATCTCGTCAAGCCGTACCAGCCCGTGTATCGCTTGGTATCACTACTATCCTGACCACTATTCTGCTGTCTAGTTCTGTCAATCGAGACATGCCAAAGGTAAAAATGGACAGACGATTGAAGTGCACTAATTAATTTATTTATTTATGTATCTCAGTCTCTTTAAGATTATTTCATCCTGTTAAAATGCCGTCATTTTCATACAAAAGTGCTTCAAATTCTGTTTATACACGTTGACTGTTGGCATAATTTTTTCCATTTTTTCTTCCGTGAGGCCGAAGTTGACAAATAGTTTAAATATTTTGGGGAATACCACTTCCAGGGTCTGACGTTTCATCGAGCATGCGCAGTATTAATGACAGGAGGTCATTAATTCAAATTTCAGGATAGATGAATGAAATGCTTTATTTTTCTATTTCCAGGTCAGCTATATGAAGTCAATCGATTATTTTTCGTTGACGAATTTTGGTTTCATTTTCTTGTCGTTTCTGGAGTATGTCATCGTACTCAACACAGAACCCAGCCCGAAGTGGTGGAAAAATATGAAAGATCGATACTTGAACAGAAACAATGTAAGTACAGCAGAGATATATCCAGCCGATTCCCAATGAGAGGGGGGAGGGGGGTCACTCCCTATACTAGCCTTAAAGGGAAAGGTAAACTATACAAATATACTTAAAGTCGGTAGTTTCTTCAGCTAGGCTGGTATCCCAGGAAGCCAACAAAGCGCACATTACCTCCCTTGGCCTTCTCTCTAAAAGTGCTCTGTTTTAAGAGTATTTCAAGCTTATCAGTGCTAAATGGATTAGAGAGAAGTCGCAACAGAGGTGGAGAACCTGAGGATCGAACCGTGGACCTCTAGGTTTCGAAAACGCACACCAAACAAACTGAGCTACGTCTGCTGCTATACCTAACGAAAAAGATCCTCTAAATCACAATGCATATGGAAGCCTAGCCTAACATAACTTGATAAGGTGTAACGTTTTTTTTAAATTGAATTGAGGAGGCATTACCCACTAATCTTAGTCATCCCTTACTACCCTCTCCCAATTGCAAACTATTATTAAAGAGCCAGCCCGCTTTTTTAATGTATAATCTATTATATTTTTTTCTCAGCCGGTGCTGGAGAGTATGGAATGTTCCACAGCGCAAGACGGAACTGTGAGTTCAATATTAAAACGTTTTTTTTTGCTGTATTAATAAAGTTGATCATCTTATCGTCGTTAACATGGGTTCCAGGGGCTCTCTCGTTCCAGTGTTTCTCGGCGTAGGCATCAAAAGCTACGAAAAGCACAGTTTTTATTGAAATAGTCTTACATAATTCAATGTTTAGAATTCGTCAGAGAGACATCTACACGTCCAAACATTGGATAGTAACGGACGTAACCGTGACCTGGCAACAGTCGTACTCCCCAAAGATCACTCCAAAGAGCCATCAATTGTCGTAGTCACTACACAACCTGGTGAACCCGCGAAGATATCTCGTCAGCGTCGAATTAGCTCTAACAAAATACGCCAAGGAAAGGGCAAGGCTGCAGAGGCCGCTCCCCCACCTGTACACTGGGTCGACTACGTTTCTAGAGCTCTTTTCCCGTCCGCATACTTTCTGTTCTTGGCCATTTACTGGATTGATAATTTAAATAATGCTGCAAAGGGTTGACTTCGTAGTCAAATCTCAGTCAGAGGGCCGAGAAGTTTTACTTCTAAAGATTTGCCTGGCCATTTATGTAAGGCTTTTTTTATTCACCAAGCCACGCTCGATATTAAAATTTAGAGTTGATGGCACACATTAATAGCATGGTACTTCATGTATGTACAAACACGTGGATCGCCACGCACATTTATTGGTAGGAATAGAATAATTTACCATATACGAGGTTTCTACGTTTCGGTACTGAATAAGATAAATTTGGCAATTTTGCTAATCTATATGCAGCACTATATACACTTTTTTGAAGCTTAAAGCAATGTTAACATTTTCATTCCGAGAGCCTCGATGAGGTAGTTTCCGTTAAGGTTCTTGAATTGTATTGCTATCAGCTTTTTCTATTAATAATTGCACGCAATAGACCCGTTTCGAGTTCCAAATTACCGCTGTGTTTCTTGATTACAGACTCATTTGCACAGGGTTAGCCTCGAGTTTGTGCAGAATATTCACGTGTTCCAGTCAAGGTCCGTCGAGTTTCAAAGTGTT